ACTTATTTTGCTTCCTCCAAGCAATTTTCCCTTCTTTTTTTATTTAGAGCGTATTTGTCAATTTACTTATCTCTCCTTCTACGTAATTTTTATTACTTATAAGATATCATTCTATGGTATTTGGTAAAGACTAGATTTTATACACGTGCAATACACGTGATTAAATACTATGATTAGTTATTTTGGGTTTATTTTCTTACTAAATTTTATTCCTTGGTTACTCTTTGATAGTTTTTGCTCACTTTGATTAAGTATTTTTTGTTTATTTTCTTACTAAAATTTGTTCCTCGCTTACACTTTGATTATTTATTTTTTTAATGATTGTTTGAATAGGCTACACCCTGTTTAAATTTTTATGTTGATAGTTGAATTGTCAAGAGATAAATATAATCTAAAGTCTATTTAAATTTTTATTTCATTTGAATCGGCATGAAACCGAGCTTGACCTGAGAAAGTATAGTGTTATGAAAGTGAAAACACTTAAAAAAATAACATTATAAAAGGAAGATGAATAATAAAGCCAACGAGCCAAGATGATTGATTTAAAGTAGGCTAAAATGATAGAAAATAGTCAATGAAAAAAATTATAAAGTGAATATTAATGCTAATCTAGTATACTTTTATATGATAAAAGCATCCACATATGTATATGAAAGCACTAAAATAGTTTATGAAAATCCCTTATATAGATTCCTAATTTTACTAAAAAAAGCTATTGTATAACAATTCACAAAAAAATTACCTTTCGTTGCTTCTTTTTTTTTTTTAGTCGAGATCAATTGTTCTTCATATTTATCTTTTCCCTGAGCAATTCTAGAATAATGTCTTCATCGTCTATATCAATTGTGATATGAGAATGGAGCATATTATTTTTCCTTTGGCTCATTCATCTTTTGTTTTCTCGTCTAAATTCACAAAGAAGTTGAATATATTTCTTATGTTTAACACAAACTTCTAACAATACAGACTTTGACTTTTTCCTATTTCAATAAGAATAAATATTAATTTCATATTTATAAATTTTTTGTGCTTTTAATTTATTACTTAAATAAGGTTAGGAGCTACATTTTTTCTCTGTAATGAATTCTTCTGTTGTGCATCTAATAAGAGTTTCTGCTGTGTCATAATGTTACATTTGCTTTGTCTGTGTTATTTTCTATAAGGATCTGAACTAAATACATTGTATTTTTCATTGTCAATTTGCTTTAGATTATAATATTAATATTTAATTTTGATATATTTATTTCATGAAGAAGGGGTATCACTTAACATTGGTACTACATCATCGTTGATTCTACAACATTTATCATTTGGACACTTATTATTAACATCTTTATCCACTTTTTTGTTGCATCCTTTGCAAACATAGAACCATTGCTCAACTCTATTATAAATGGTAGTTATCGTTGCCTTAAAGGTGCGATAATGTGTCTGTATATTGGTAAATTATTCTTATGTTTAATTGTATGAATTTTAGAGTAGGTTTTCTAAAATCATACCTACAATCATCCCTCTCATCATCGTGTTATTAAGGGCAAAACTCATTTGTTTTTTCTTGGCTTTTCCGCGAGAGAAAGGACACAAATAAATTGTGGGATACCCGCTCTTCTCATTTAAAAAAGCCCTTAATAATAATGCGCCCTACGGCCAATCATCATACTCTCTTTAAAAGCACGAGTTCAGAAAAATCTTTCGGTAGACAAAAATACCCTTGGAATTCAAATATTATTCCATTAAGTAAGAGTAAGTTGATAAATTGATGAATTATTATTGGATATACATAGTATGAAGATAATGATACAATTTAAATTGAAACTTAAATCTAAATAAAATTATTAAATACTAAATTTATAAATATCTACAAAATGAAGGGCGTATATGCACAAAATAAATAAATTAATGAGACAAATAATGTCTACCCCAAAGGTCGAACCTGTGAACAACGTAGACCAACAAATGTACATAATCTGGATGGGATATTTACAAAATCCACCAAACAAATTAAAGAGACAAAAGTCATTCTCAAAATTATAAAAAAGAAAAATTAAGAAAAATAAAAAATCATATACTCCTTTAAAAGCATGAGTTCAGGAAAAGCTTTCCATAGTCAAAATTACACTGTACTATTTTAAATATTTAATTTAAATTATAATCTATACTAATCATACTTATATCCTATCCTAAAATCCCATGAACTATCTATAGCTTAACAATTTAAATAAGATTAATAAAATATATGAAACATCTTCGTACTATCAGTTTATTACATGAAGTATTACAAAAAAAGCAAATAGTTTTGAAAATTAGACAAAATACTCTCAAAAGTTTAAAATTACACAAAATAAAAAGCTGAAAATTTAGAAATTGGCAAAGAAAAGAGTAATTGTGTGATATTTTTTCATTAAGATATATAAATATAACTTATAATTTAAGGTTTACTATCCCTTTTTAGAATCTGAAAATAGTTAAGTTGATACTGGTAAAAAATAGTAATAATAACAGATTAAAAATATTCAGTTAAATAATAAAAATTTTAAAAAATATATGATAGATTAAAAATTAATGTTATTGTATAAATTAAAGTAACTGCATATAATTTTACCAATATGTTAGAACACCAAAAATACATAAGTATCATTAATTGATAGAAGACTAAATCAAAAAAAACTGATAAAAGACTATAATATAATAACTTAACATTAATTGATTATAATTTATAAATATTGATCTCTAATGGTAATAATATTTATTAGGTAAAAAATTATAAAGATTTATGTATGGAGAACTATTAGAACATTTAGAGATATCCTTCAAAAGAATCAAGCGGTTTTCATTTCAAATGGGATTCGAAACGTCCATGAATCACTTCAATTAACACTAACATAAGTTATATTTATCAAAAAAACACTGACTGAATACCCCCTGAAGAATATATTGAACAACTTTGTGCTCATCAAAGAAACATTCTTCATAGAAGATAAAAAAAATTACTATACTTTGCGTAAGAAAAAAATATAAAATCGGCATTTTTCTTTTTCTTATATAGTATCACGACCTTGCGTGTGACTTTATTTAGGGGTATGACTACTAACGAATGATCAATTCTTAAAGACACTATAAAAGATAATGATGTAATAGCACTATTAGAATTCAAGATCTCTAAGTATGAAGGTAGTATATTTCATTAGTAAAATTCTTATTAAAGGACACTAAATATAAAATTCACATTATATCTGTCTCAAATTTATAGAGGAGATATGCATGTCATCGTAAATTACGTCAATAATATATATCAATGCAAAGATACAACTCACTGAAGAAATAAGAGAATAGTAAGTAAACCAAGAAAACATCCATATAACACCGTAAAAAATATTACATTTTAAAGCTAATATGCAACGCTCTTTTAGAGTAAGCTGCCAAGACAAAAGCATCTACATTAAGGCTCTTTATAAATGCAACAGAAATTCAAATTATTAATATATACAACCATTATAACATTTATGATCTTAGAAAACCTATTCTAAAATTTATATAATTAAACCTAAGAATAATTTACCAAAATACAGACACACTATCGCACCTTTAAGGCAATGATAACTATTATTTATAATAGAGTTGAGCAGTGATTCTATGTTTGCAAAGGCTACAATAAGAAAGTGGATAAAGATGTTAACAATAAGTGTTCATATGATAAATATTGTAGAATCGCCGATGATTTAGTACCAATGTTAAGTGATATCCCTTCTTCATGAAATAAATATATCAAAATTAAATATTAATATTATAATCTAAAGCAAATTGACAATAAAAATTTAATGTATTTAGTTCAGATCCTCATGGAAAATGACACATACAAAGCAAATGTAACATTATGACACAACAGAAATTTTTATTGGATGCACAACAGAAGAATTTATTGTAGAGAAAAAAGAGGTAGCTCCTAACCTTATTTAAGTAATAAATTAAAAGCATAAAAAATTTTATATATATGAAATTAATATTTATTCTTATTGAAATAGGAAAAAAAATAAAGTCCGTATTGTCAGAAGTTTGTGTTGAATATAAGAAATATATTCAACTTCTTTGTGAATTTAGACGAGAAGACAAAAGATGAATTAGCCCAAGGAAAGATAACATGCTCCAGTCTCATATCAAAATTGATGTAGACGATGAAGACGCTACTACTCTAGAATTGGATAGGAAAAAGGTAAAGATGAAGAATGATTGATCTCGATTCAATAAAAAATAAAATAGAAGTAATAAAAGATAATGTTTTTTGTGAATTGTTATAGAATAGTTTTATTTTTTAGTAAAATTAGAAATCTTTAGAAGAGATTTTCATAAACTATTTTAGTGCTTTCATATGCATATATGGATGTTTTTATCATATAAAAGTATACTAGAGTTAGCATTGATCTTCAGTTTATGATTTTTTTTATTAATAATTTTCTGTCATTTTAGCTCATTTTAAATCAACCATCTTTGCTCGTTGGCTTTATTATTCATCTTCCTTTTATAATGTTATTTTTTCAAGTGTTTTCACTTTCATAAAACTATACTTCCTCAGGTCAAGCTTGGTTTCATGCCGATCCAAATGAAATAAAAATTTAAATTGGCTTTAGATTATATTTATCTCCTGACAATTCAACTATCAACATAAAAATTTAAACTGGATGTAGCCTATTCAAACAAATATCAAATAAATAAATAATCAAAGTGTAATCTAGGAACAAATTTTAGTAGAAAATAAACCAAAAATACTTAATCAAAGCGAGCAAAAATTATTATCAAAGAGTAATCGATGAATAAATTTTAGTAAGAAAATAAACAAAAAATACATAATCACAGTATTTAACCACGTGCATTGCACGTGCATAAAATCTAGTTTAATAAAAATATAAGAGACCTTAAAAAGTAGTTATAAAAAAAAAGGAAAAATGAAGAAAGTAGAAAGAAACCCAAAAACAAGCCGTTGCCCGAGCCGTCCATCGAAAATTCAACGGATATAAAAAACCTCCACCAAACCCCGAACCCAAAAACACAACCCCATGAGTTCCACCGCCCTCTCCTTCTCCTCCCCATCGCTACTGCGCTCCACCAAACTCCCCACCTCGATCTCCCCTCCCAAATTTCCCGCCATCTCAACAACCCATTTCAGCCGCAATCGGATCTTCCTCCCCCCTCTCCACCCAAACCCGACCCGATCCCCTAGGATCCGCTCCTCCACCTCCATGGCCGCGGGGTCCACCACCGGCGACATCAAGAAGGGGCTGATGGTCTTCGAGAGCGAAGGCGATCTCGCCACCAAGCTCGCTGAGTACACCACTGGCCTCTCTGGCCTCTCCGGTAAGTTCACCGCCGAGAGGGGTGCGTTCACCGTTGTAATCTCCGGTGGATCTCTCGTAAAAGCCCTCAGGTCGCTTGAAAAGCTTTCGACTTTTTGTGTATTTTAACTATATAGCCCCCAAATCAACCATATTTGCAAAATTATTCTCAAATCCAGATATTTGCTGATTTATCTTCCAATTCTCCCACATTGTAGGTAAATAACGTCTCAAGTATAAGTCATCAATATTTAAATGGTATATAAGGGAGAAACCCCAGCTAAGTATATTTGATTTATTTTATCTCAACGTGATAGAACTGGTGATAAATCAGCAAATATCTTAGATTTGGAGGGTGGATCTGAAACTCTTTTCTTCTTTTGCTTAAAATGCTCTTTGAGTCTGGTAATTGCGTTTGGGTGTGTAGGAAGCTGGTGGAGGCGCCATTTGTTGATTTGATTGAGTGGGGAAAGTGGCATGTGTTTTGGGTGGATGAGCGAGTTGTGCCGAAAGATCATGATGATAGTAACTATAAGCTGGCATATGATGGGTTTTTATCAAAGGTATCAAAGATAGCTCCATTTCCATTTTAAGATTTATTTTTTTTTAAATTTTTTGTTCGGTAAATGGATCTGTTTTGACTTAAATAATAACGTGTGTCTTTTTAATCAGAGGTCGAGTCATTGTATTTAAAAACTCGCCTTCTTTTCTTATTTTCATGCTATTTGGCTTGGTGTGCGAGAAACTTTGAATGTATTTCTCATCTTGATTAAGTAGTCGACTTGTGAGAAACTTTATAGTATCAGGAAGTTAATCAAGAGCCTACGACCAGTAGGGGTGTTAACGGAGCGGATACGGTTCGGATATGACACTTACCATATTTATATCCGCTTTCTAAAAACGGATACGGATACAGATATGAATTATCTTCGGTAAGAAAAAACCTTAAACCATATTTGCACTCATCGGAAACAGATACGGTTCGGATATTTGAGAATCGCATCGGATACGATCACTGATATGAAACGGATATTCAACAAATGGATATGAATCGGATATTAATTAGTACACCTATGTATAAATTACAACCAAATGGGTAAATCTATGTGGTTGTAGGCTTCTCTTTACATAAATGTATGTGGTTGCAAATGATACAAATATAATACAACAATCACAAATACATGCAATATCATCAATTGTACCTGGATTTGATATAAAGTATCTTAGCAGTTGCTATAACCAACAAAGCAAAGCATCAAAAGAGCAATTTAGATATGTAATATCATCAATTCAAAACAACTTAGTTCACGTATAATCGGAATTACTTCAAACAAACACCAAGCACAAATAAATAAAACCACATCATTAGTTCTCTAGAGTTTCAAGCTAACACATCAATCAAAAGTTAACTAGAATATAACACCAATGGATGCAGGCATAATATCAAATCCCATCATCCGAGTCATAGACCTCCATGATGTCACCTTCCAAAAAAAAAGAACAATTGTCATGTTAAATATGTAAAAATAAAAATTCCAAATCATGTGCTTATTGAGTCAAATAACATATCTAATGGTGCTTTTACAAAGGTCTCGGGCAATCTCCGAGTCATCGTCATCCACTATCTTAGCCACATCAAGAACATCATCCTTACTAGTTTCAACTTGTGTAACTACAAAAAAAGTAGAGAAAAACATATAATCATTAGATGCTCATTAACTAAAAATAGGTAGATAAACTTAGTACAAATTTATTATTTAGTATAATTCCCTTAAATCACCATTAACTATCATTAACACTCTGCACAATTTCCTTACAATAATTTGCGCAATCCACCATATTTTTTTACTATTGTCAACACAATGCACATGGAGTAGAGAAGCAAATCTCATAGTTCATCTACAAAGGGATTCTAATTCAAAAACCCTCCCCAAATGGAGGCATTCATGTCACTGCTCTATAGCAACAAATGGCAATAAAAGGAGTGGGGCTCATGAGGCTACCATGTTCTTAGGAACCCACATGCGACGATGACAACACCCTTCCCCATTTGGTTTTAAAGGATAACAATAGCCAATATAACTTTTTTCTCATACAATTCATAGCTTATGTTACATTATTGATCTTATAGATACACATTAATATTGAGTAGTATAATCCTAAAAGTGCAAAATGGAGAGGTGTGAGGATGACTATACCGATCCAAGTATTCTTCTAACCACTAGCTATTTGGTGGACAAAGTTTACTTGAGGTGGACGAACTGACCGAAGACGACGAGCGAATTGGACGGGCAGACGAACTAGACGAGGCGGGCAAACTGGTCGAGACGACGCGGGTGAACTGGCCGAAGACGACGGGCGAACTGGTGAAGACGACGC